AGAATCTTTGAACATACACTCCCCGCTATGCCTCTTTGTAATGGGAGCGGTCCCTGGGCATTTCTTGCGTCATAGATACCCGGCTTGCGAGTGCTTTACTGAGTCAGATTCTGCATTAGACTGCCCTGACAGCGATATATTCACGTTCAACACTATTGCATGCAGACCTGGAGTTGGAGACTGCATTATACACGGCCATTCGTGCCGAATCTTTCTAATTCACGGCATTCATGGCGTTCATGGCGTTTCTGCATTTGTTTTGGTCTTTGTACATTAATGGCGCACATACTTGGAGGATTGAATAGGGATCATGAGATGAATGGGATGTAATGAATGAAACGAGTGAATAGACTTGTGCAAACACATTGAATGGCTTAATAAATTATCCGAGGATATTCTAGAATGTAGCTAGTGAAAGCATGATTGACCCTCTCCGAAGGTGGTCCATCCATCTAGGCATGACCTCCAAGAGGTCCACGGGGCACCTGCGGGCAGGCAACGTGATTACCTAATCCTTATATTGGCTGAAGCCCTGGAGCTCATGCTTCTTTTCGGCCTCATTTAGCCATCACATTCTCTCTATCCATCCCACACTGAACGCTGATTGCATCTTTAGCTGTTTCCTAGCCCCTGAGGATTGTGCTAGGAATGCTGCCCGACGAAATTTTCCTGGCCGTTTAATTACCACTTAATTCAACATCTTGACCACTTTCCTGACATCGCAATTCGCTCTTTGCCTCCTGTCTGTTCTTTGAACAGCGATCCAAGACGAAATGGCATCCCCAGGCCAAACACAGGGCTCAGCGCCCACAACGCAACCTCTCACCCCACCCGCCGAATCCTCTGCCGCGAACGGGGCCTCCGCGCCCGCCGCAACAAGCTCCCAGACCCAACCCCATGTCCCAGCGACAGGCCCTTCAACCACAGCGCCACAACCGCCAGCAGTCCCCGGCATATCAACCCAAGATAGTGGGAAAACGCGACGACCACGGGACGTGCGGCTGGTCCACATGCTCCTCGCCTCACTCGGGGTAACCTCATACCAAGACCGGGTACCCCTCCAATTGCTCGACTTCGCCTACCGCTACACTGCCAATGTACTACAGGACTCTGTACATCTCGCGACGGAAGGATATGCCGCGGCAACAGACGGTACGGCGGGCACAAAGGGATCCGCCGAAGTGAATAGTGTTTCTCTGCCCGCATTGCGGCTGGCCATTGCCTCCCGCTTGCACTTCCAGTTCCAGACAGGTTTGCCGAAGGAGTTCCTCATGGAGGTCGCGTCGGAGAGGAATCGTATCGCTTTGCCTGGTGTATCCCGAGGCTTTGATCCTGCCGCTGGCGCTAATGGCGCTGTTGCAGCGGCGAATCAGAGTGTTGTTATTGGTGGTATGCGCCTGCCTCCTGAGCGCTTCTGTCTTACTGGAATGGGTTGGGATATGAAGGATGAGTGGGATAGCGAGGGCGAGGAAGATGATATGCCTGATGTGATGCGGCAGCCTGGGGCTGGGATGGGTGTTGGTGGTGATGGAGCTGAAGATAATGCAGACGAGGATGATAATGATGGCAAGATGGAGGATCTATTCGGCGAAGATACCACTATGGGCGAGGCAGGCGATGGAGATGAGGACCGAAACATGACTGATGTTTAAGGGAGTGAATTTACGTCCGGGGTTCTTCTGCCTTTGGCCTTCGGCTGGTGGTGTTTCTGGCGCTTGGTGTTTGTTCTCTTTCTCTCTAATCTACCATGGGATGGAGTCCTGGTTTTTCCTATCATGGAGAGCATCTATTTCATGACTTGTGTCTACAAGTTGGGGTCAAAGTCCCCTCGTCTGAACTTGAAGGCAAATAAACCGATAAAGAAGACATACTTCTGGTCAATTAAACCAAGATATGCAATCGTCTGTGTGTATATTGTACATAATTCGGTCCATCCCATCGCTCCGCATTCGGGATGACCATGCAATGTAATAAAGATGCCCAGCAAAACGCCTGCTTTGTTTGCCTTTGTGCGCCGTGAGGAGAGAGAGAAAAGATATAAAATCCGAGTCCGGCCTGGCCAAGAAAGTCCGGGGCCGACCTGCCCGGCGGCATCAGTCTGATATCTGCCTATCAGACTGACGGCGGGAAGGCCAGGCTGCGCCGCCGGCACTGCGAGTTATGGGCCGAGTGCTTCGAGACATACAAGGCCCAGCTAATCAGGCAGTCATGTCAGGGAAGAGTTCAACAGCTTCCTTCCCCTCGCCCAAACACTCAGCCCAAAGACGAAAGTCTTGGCCCTTTGACCTCGGAGAAACGCGAGAAGCAGAATACTCAAGACGCCGAAACCCATATAGACAAGAACTACTCACACAAGAAACGACGAGCGAGAGAGGAGGGATACATGGAGTAAAAAGGAAAATCTCCAATCATTTCCCCGCCGCTCGCGCCCGCGCTTCATCCTCGCGCATCATGCGAATAACTTCCTCACGGCGCTTCTCTACACGTGCAAGATCCTCCTCGCGCGCCCGTCGCCGGTCCTCATACCCTGCAAACCACTCCTCACGTGCGCGGTCCTCTTCTTCCGGCTTCGCGTGGGCGACCATGCATGAATTCATTGCGAGACGTTGCTGACGGCAGACCCATGTTGCAGTGACGGTGCGGTTAACGGCGCACTCGGCGAATGCTATATCATAACTGGGTCAGTTGGTTGTTCAAACATATTCGAGGTGTGGGGATTGAGCCGGAGTTTCTCCTCCGCTTGAGACTCATGACCGGCTGTTGCAAGTTCAAAGCTATGCATTATTTGCAAAGAGGTGATGAATTTGGTGTAGAGAGCAATGCAATTGCATACCTTTAATCTCGGGAGCGCAATGAGCGCGTACTCGCTTGTAATACAGCAGTTTCACTTCTTGTTCTTGAGGGGCTGAGAGCGGAAGCGGGTTGCGAAGATTGTATTGTTTGGGTGCGCTCTTAGGTGTACTCGTTGAAGATGTATCCGGGGATGTGGAAGACGTAGCCATTGGGACTGTAGGTCGACCTCAAAGATCGAACTTGGCCGGGTTATGTGTATGGGCTGGTCGATCGGAGAGTTTGCTCTGAGGGGGATTGGTCCCGGTTGTTGAGGGACAAGATGCGAGTTCTGGCTGCCCCAGAGCTCAGGAAAACGAGCTGAAAGATGTAGAAGTGGTTTCGAGAGGGATTTACCGAATGGCTTTGTAGAGAAGATCGAGGCCAAATGGGAGTGTTGATTGCGAGTGAGCCGGGCTTGGGCGGAGAGAATGTTACTATTGGCAGAACCAGAAAGAAAAAGTTCTCCAACTTCGCATCTCGACTTCGACTACACTCTTCTGCTGGAAACTTCTGCGTCTCTTAGGTTTCCGATTTTTCCTTTCTTCTACGCTTTATTGCGCTCTAGTTATTATCCCGGGAATTTTCAACACCGAAACTCAGCATGTCATCCATGCGCAACGCCGTCCAACGGCGGAACCACAAAGAGCGTGGCCAGGTCCAGGGCCGCGAGAAATGGGGTCTCCTCGAGAAGCACAAGGTTAGTTCCTGCGGAGGAGCTCTTCGAATACCTAAATGATCCGAGCTTTCTTCCATGCCTACTCGAAGGACAAACGTTCTAACTTGAACAGGATTACTCGCTTCGTGCCAAAGATTACAATGCCAAGAAGGCTAAGCTAAAGCGCCTCGAAGAGAAGGCGCGGGATCGCAACCCCGATGAGTTCGCCTTCGGTATGATGGGTGAAAAGAACCGGACCCAGGGTCGGCACGGACGTGGGCAAGGCACAGCACGAGACTCTGCCGCAGCGCGGGGACTGAGCCACGAGGCAATCAAGCTGCTCAAGACGCAAGATAAAGGTTATCTTCGGACGGTTGGCGAGCGGGTGCGTCGCGAGATTGAGCGCCTGGAGCGCGAAGTGGAGTTGCAAGATGGCATGAACAAGGCCCTTGGCACAAAGGATGGGAAAAATGGCGAGGAGAGCGATGGCGAGGATGACGGGTTCGACGACGATTCCGATTTTGATTTCGGAGCCCCGGTGAAATCGAAACCAACCAGGATGGTGTTTGCCGACGACCGACAAGATCAATTGGCAATGAAGAAGCAGAGGATACAAAAAGAAGAACCTGCTCTGGATTCAGAGGAAGAAGATCAGACATCAAACCAAACCCGCAAGACACCCAAGCAGCTTCAGGCTGAGCGACAAGCACTTGCAGATGCTCGACGGGCTCGCAAGGTCCGGAAACGAACCATCGAGGCTCGTAAAAACAAGCTGATTGCGTTGCGGAAGCAGCATGCCGAAATTCAGACCGCAGAGCAAGAGCTTGATTGGCAGCGGGCCAAGATGGAAAATTCCGTGGGAGGCACCAACAAGGACGGAATCAAGTGGAAGATCCGTGAGCGCAAGCGCTGAGTGTTTTTGTTCCGACGGAGTTTATGAGTGATGACCGCTATCATCTTTTTTGTACATATTGATACCAACCACCATAGAGGCAGTCCGGCGCATACAGTAGCATCCAAGGAACACACTTCAACCCTGACCATCGACTCCTGGAAAAGCTCGGTAACATCAAGCGCAGGGTCAGCGATAGCTGGAAGACCTGTGATAAGACATTGCCGCTTGTACCGGTATATTTGATCATCATATAAAGTACTCTGGCCTCGCTACATCTACATTGGTGTGGTTAATTGTTGAAATAATACCCAACCCGGCTTCTATTTCTGTGACAAATACTATCATTCTAGACTTGTCTCCTTCATACGCTGTCTTCCTCTGATCAATGCTCCGAGCCGCGTTTACTGGCAAACAGACCTTCAGCTTCGACAAAATGAAACAGGATTTATGTCCATGCCACCGATATTCGACAGGCCCGCCAGCAGGGGACTGAGGCCTACCAGTATTTCGATTGAGCTATATCTAATAGTGTAAATTCGACGAATCCCACTCTATGTGAATCGGACGTCTATGCACTTCTCAAAAAGGGCCACAACCCCCTGGGCATGACCGATATAGCTATGCTCTTGCCGCCGCATCCAGATGACGTAAAACACTATGCGCTTGTTTTACGAGGGCCCTGCGTGCATTGCGTACGTTCACATCGCCTTCCGGGTGGATTCCATCAACCGGCAACATCACTTGCCTAAGCACCATCTCGCTCAGCTTCTTATGTTCGAAATCCCGCGTTTCGATATTGCCCGGCGGCTGGGCTATGTATCCGTCACAAAGTGGGAGGATATGACCCTCGAAATACGCAGTCAAGGCAGACACTTTCTCCATCGCTGTAGGCATTGTTTTTAGATTCGGTGGAGACAGAAGTGAGTTGCTAGGTGGAGCGGGCGATGGGTGCCGTGATGGGGGAAAGGGCAATGATGCGGTTTCAGTTTCAACATGAGGAGGGGACATATGTCCAGCCTTCTTCTTCTTGTCCTTATTACCCTTGTATTGGCCTCGAGACGAGACGCTCACATTGTCTCTTTCATAATGGGAAGAGTCGCTCTGTGTACCTAGGTATGTCCTGTAGGCCGACTGCATCTCTCGACGACTAGATCGTTCCGACCGCCTATCTTCCCGGCCACGTCGCACCCCATCTTCAAGTTCCCGGAGGCTGGAGCCTCCCGTATAATCAGAGCTGGTACCGTTCACATGCTGCGTGGATGGCTGCGGGCCGCCGGTGTTCAACCGAACAGCCCCGGTATCCCCAGCACGAATGCTAATAGTTTTGCCTGCAACTGCTTCAGACGTAAATCGAATTTGGGATCCGTTCAACGTGAAGGTCACGTTCTTGTCGTCCTCTTTCCGTGAGGCTGTGGCACTGCCGCGGCTGCTAACGACAAATAGTACTTCTGAGTTGTGCCTGAGTCCCTCTGCTTTGCACGTTTGATTGTCGTCTCTTAAGATCTTTCCCTTATACAATAACATAACAAGGTCCGGAGAAGTGGCTCCAATCCTCCCAGCTTCCTGCCGCAACATGCCAACAGTGACCATACCGTTATTAATGGCATATGGGCGGAAGCGGAGCGGATGTGTGGCTCCACGGTGTTTAATAACGATAATATCGGGTTCACTCTCATTGGTTTCATTATTATCTGCGTCCCATTGGCGGTCCCAATGCATTGGCTGCGTGGAGGGGGGCTGCTCGAGATAGTCCAGTGTATGACTGATTGCTGGCTTGTGCACCTCAAGATTGGATTCCCCAGGCAAGTTGTTCTCCCTGGCAGACTGGGGGTCTCGTTCTGAAGTTAGACCATGGTCATTCCAATAGTTGCTATAGTATGGCGGGGTTGGGTCTTCCGCGCTCAGAAGGTGGTGCGACGTATCAGAACCCTCATCCGAAGCCGCACTCTTGACGCCAGAAGGAGGAATGGCCGCGTCGATCTCTTCATTGAGCAGCTGCTGGGCATAGGCTGATGGGGTATATGGTGGTATTTGACTCAAACGACGGTGGATGCGAGAGTACTTATCGTCTGCTTGGTCGACGGGGTCATCCGCGCCTGGGGAGGCATGCTGCGGCGTCTTATTCGTCTCTTCATCACCGTTCACATTAGCGAGGTGCATGTGGTTGATGGACTCAGAGGGATCCTCTTGCATCACCTTGAGCATTACACAGTTGTCAAGGTGCTTGTAGAAGTCCTGAGCGTCTGCGAATGTTTCATTGCAGATAGAGCAATTCCCAGTGGAATCGCTGGTGAGGTTCGTACCCATCTTAGTGGAGGGATTCGGCCTGTGGTCAGGCTGGTTTGGTTGCATATGCATTACCCCATGGACGGCGACAAGGTGGCGTTTGAACACATCGGCCCGATTGAAGCTTTTCTCTCTTGGTGTGCCAGGACCTGGACAAAAGGGACACACCATGACACCCTTATAGTGGACCAGGGCGTGGCGAATCATGTCGTATTTACGGGCGAAACCCCTGATGTGGTATTCACACGTTACGATCGGGCACTTTTCTGTCCGCTCAGATTGGTTGTGCGTCATAGCGTGAGCTCGTAGGTCGTGGAAGACTAGCCCACATTCGGGACATTGCCCCTCAACAACCGAATCGTGCGAATCGGAATCCGCATCGGAAGGAATTTCACCTTCATTGTCGTCTTCTTCAGATCGCGGCAACGCAAAGAGTGCTAGCTCTTCAAGATGCCGGCCCACGTGTCTTTCAAGCTGCTTCCCAGATGGAACCGAAGATAGGCAGAGTGCGCAGTCCACGTACACACCTGGGCTTTCAGATACGGAATGTTGGCTCTGCAAATGAGAAAACCAACCCCTGCGGCTTTCATACAGCCGATGTGGCGTCGGACAGTTAGGGAAGATACATAGATATGGCATCAAATCATTAAAGACATGACGAGCCCAGGCCCTCCGGTTCGCGATGGTGATGATTACAAAACAATAGGGACATTCAAATGGAGCTCCATCAGCTGCTTCTTTCGGGGGAGACGGGAGAACTGTCCCTTCTGCCCCGTTCAATATGGTTTGAGCGTAAGATGTTTGTGAGGCGACAGTTAGGAATTCTAAGTCGCTCTTTTCCGCTGGTAAAGCTTCCACGAATTCAGTTGCGACTGTCTCTGATAGTTTGGCTGACTGCCCGTCTGGCTGATCTTCCATAACCTGGCTGAGACCCTGGCCGAGTTTGGTGCGATGACGCTCACGATACCGCATAACGGCTCGACGGTGTGATATTGCCAGGCCAAGACGTTTCAGAATATCCTCCCCCGCTTGCGGGTACTTTGATGAGACATGTAGCCAGTCAAAATGTTCAAAAAAGACTGCATCTGATCTTTTGGTGCCAAGAAGGCGATCATGTTGAGCTGGCTGCCGGATGACCATGGACATCTGGTACAGGTTGTTGATAGTATCACGCAGAGCATGATATACGGACTGTATTTCTGTTCGATGCTCATCATCATCTTCATCCTCGCTTAGATCTGAGAAATCGTCATCTTCGGTTGAGTGATGTAAAACATCGTTGATATCTGCGGTGGTTCGCTGCAGCCGCTGAAGGACGCGGAGTGTCTGGTTTTTGATATGCGATGCATCTCGTAGTCGATGATCTAGCGACAATTGACCGGCCTGATGTGCCCCAATGTTGGCAGCCCAAACCCGCAAACGTCCAAGCTCATCTTTCCATAGCGCTGGCGGGACTTCCGACGCGAACGATGACAAGTCTTCGGAGACAAGCCGGTTTAAATCTTTGAGGCACTGAATCACGACAGACGAAATCTTTGTCGTGGAGGGACTCGCAGCTGGGGCTGTCGTCGTCATCATCTCATGGTGCTCTTGTTCGCCGACTGGCCTTTCTGAGAAGGCCGCTTGTTGATCGAAGTTTGATTCAGTGATTGGAGATGCGCCTCGGGAAACGTTTCCCGTTCTCTCAGGCCTATCTTCAACGGCAGTCTCTTCAACCGAGAAATCAGGTCCACCGAGTGGTGCGTAGTGGTGAGGCATCTCCTGGCTCGGATCCACTTCACGTTTCCATCTTGATATGGGAGTATCGAGTGTATCCTGGAGCTGCTCAAGTCCGGACTGAAATGAATAGAGGCGATCATAATCAGATGCGATCCGAGACATCGGAGATGCTTCCCTCAAGCGAGCCATATTGCAGTCCTTCGGTTGCAGTTCCAGCTCCAGTTGCGGCAAAGTATCTGGACTGGAATCAGAGACGAAGTTTTGTTGCTGCTGCTCTTGCTTTGGTTCAGTGCGGTTGAGGCCTTCCATCCTCTCGGGTAGGTGCCCTTGCACTCTCTGAGTCTTTTAACCAAGAACAGCATCTGATTTTGCGAAACTGGACGTTTGAGGTTGGTCTGCTCGACAGGGATCCTGCCACTGCGGGGCTGCGTGGAGTTGGGCCCCGCGCTTACACCGCATAACCTCTCTGGACTCTTTTGGCCTCCAAGCTATTCAACTCTTGTCTAGTTTAGCTCGGTGCTCAAAGATGGAGGCTGCAGGCGTTGCCCTAGCAATTCTTCCACTTATCATCAATCAGCTCGATAACTATGTCCAGGGTCTTGAGACTATCAAGAGCTTCGGAGCCAAGCGTTACCGAAGGGAACTCGAAAGCTATTCATCAAGCCTCGGAACTCAACAAGCCATCTTCGTCAATACCCTGGAGCGGGCCCTCGACGGAGTGGTGGAATACGAAGATGGGCTGGATGAAAGGAACAATCCCCTCGGGAATATGTGGAAAAGGCAGGATCTGCGAGCGAGCCTTCGTGAAAAACTAGGGAGAGATTTTTACCCTTTCAACCAGATGATGGTAGAGACTGCGACTCTATTAGAGGAATTGTCACAAAAATTAGGATTGGACAAGAATGTTTCGGTGGTGAGTGTACTTTAGTTATCCCGAGGTTCAGGGCTAACCAGCACCTCGATCATACTACAGAACTATCGGGTCGACCAGTCTGCTATCAAGAAGGAGGTCAAAAAGTTCAGAGACATTTTCTCAAAAAGCATCTACCTCGATCTCTTCGCTCGTATCGACGCAGCCAATAGAATCCTGAATACCTTAGTGGAACAGTCCGATTATCGAACCACAATACAAAAACGGAGAATATCAAAAAGACCCCTATTACGCCAGAAAAGGGCTCAGAAATCAGCTCGCAGTCTGCATAATGCAATAATACGCGGCAAGTATTGGAAATGTGCTTGTCTGGACCAACACTCAATCCATTTTGTTCTTAGCTATCCGTCAGAGGACATAAATGATGGGTCGAAAGAGTCCTCTAGTTGCCCTCGCTTTCGAATGATTTTCCCTTCCAACAGCTCTATAGATCTTGCCACGGGATGCTGCGAGATTGAAACCGAATCTGATACTATTCGATCGAGAGTGGATCCTTCGAACCGACCTGCCCATCTGGGCAATCAAAAGAAAGCTCCCTTCGCTAGACAGAAGGCCAAAGTGCAGTTCGCGTTCGATGAATCATCTGAAGATGAACGATCCATGATATCTGATATGCCTTCGGTGTCTCCGATTGTAGACATCTGCTCAACGCTGTCTACCGTGGGGACCAAGGGCGAGACAAATGAACTTATTGGGTTTATCTCCGATGAAAACCACCGCCACAATATGTATTATGTTCGGAAGCTGGCCGGGAATCTGAGATCCCAATCGCTCGCTGAGATTATTGCGGCTTCAAGTGATTTCTTCAAGGCGCCTAGCAGCGGCAGGTTCCTTTTCACATGGGGCCACCGTCTCCGCGTTGCGGTTAATCTCGCCTGCAGCGTGCTCCAATTTCACGGAAGCTGGCTGAAAGCCCAGTGGAGATCACGCGATATTATGTTTACCCAGAATTCATCTGGTGATATCGATAAGCCATACGTCCGTTGGAACGTAGGCAGTGAATTGGATGGCTGGAGCATGTGCAGAGACAAACCGACATTCTCGCTCATTCAAAGCGAGATTCTGTTTCCCTTGGGCCTTGTTCTGGTCGAACTTTCTTTATGCCAGACACTAGAGGCACTACGTATACCGGAGGATGACGATCGAGTGGAGGCATATGTGAATCTAAAGACTGCAACTCGCCTCCTGCAAGTGGTGGAGGAGCAAAGCGGTGCGGAATACGAAAAGGTAGCAAGGCGATGTCTCCTTTGGCCTGGTACCAAAGAATCTACCCTGGAAAGCGAGCAGATGCAAGATGAGATATTTCAACTCATTATCTCGCCATTAGTCGAAAACCTGAGGAATTTTGAGGGTAGGGCTTGATTATTGAATGTATCGATAGTAAAGTCCGAGATAATGCCCGAAATTGTAAACGATCAGGTTAAATGCATAGTTCGATAGAGTCTTATATATTGTCAACAAATATCCTATTATACACACTCCCTGCCTTCGTTTTATAGGATGTATCTGATACAATGACGAGACAACATGCACGTATTCCCTTTGGCAGACTGTATATCGTTGCCCTAGATGGGGAGCAAACCCGAAATGACAGCGGTATATTGGAACTGTAAACTAAAGGGATTCAATAATAACTACATATGTAGTTAGAGGGAAACCCTGGCTAGATCAAGCCCAATATCCCCAACCTGCCATATACGTAGGCGGGCTCAATTGCCTACTTAGGAAGAAGAGTCGGAATGAGGCCATGTGATGGGGTCTTCGCAGTGTGTAACTTCCAATAATATCCCAATTCTTAATTCCTGTCTCTGCCTGACATAACAATTGCGTACAAAATACTCTGATACTCCGTCGCAAAGAGTCTAAAACGTTCAAGTAATCACACCATCGCTGATAGGACAATCTCTCTACTCGGTCCGCGGAGACGTCCAAGCTTAATAATCATTTGCCACCCCTCCAAAGGAAGGTTATCTTCTCAGTTCTTTTCCCTTTCTCTGCACTTCACATCTCATAGAAAAGTAACAATGGCTCCTTCATTTATGACCATTGACACCAACGATATGGACGTGGATTTCTCCACGCCCAAGCCAGTCCAGGCCAAGCGCACACTCCTCCTGGCACCGCCCTCCATTGCCACTCAAGAGGACAAACTCCGAGGCCTCTTCAGCACCTTCGACCGTTCGACCACAGACCTGCAAATGCTCGACCGCCTCTCCGCAGGCGTCGTCTCCCTCCCCGCAACAACCTACGACCTCGTCCTCATCCTCACCGACACAGACGGCACACGACGCTCCGAGGCGCTGCAACTCCTCACTCGAAATGTATACACGACTCTCGTGCCCGCCATGAAGGCCGGCGCCAAGCTGCAGACCCAAGACTCAGCACTCAATGCCTCAGAGGCCATGGAAGCCGTCCTGGCCGGCCTCGTGCAGTCCGATAACGGCTTCGAGAAACCAAACTTCGAGCCCTCCGCCGCGGTCCCTTTAAAATTCGGCCTGAAGAAGAAGAATAAGCCTACGCCAACCGCATTCCCTAGTGTTCCGACAGGATTCGCAGCGCCGATGGGGATAGACTCGCCCGCGAGTAATCACGACCGCGACGAGGATGACGAGCTCATTAATGAAGATACTCTTCTCTCCGAGGAGGACTTAACAAGACCCATAATGCCGCGTATGTCAACATATACTTACTCCCTTCCAAATATTGCATATTGCAGTCCTACATGATCTATATCAGCTAACACCATCTTCAGCTCCAGAGTGCCAACCCAAGACCGGTCGCCGGCGACGCGCCTGCAAGGATTGCACATGTGGTCTAGCCGACAAACTCGAAGCGGAGGATAAAGAGCGCCGCGCAAACGCAGATAAAGAATTAAACGTGATGAAGCTGGATACGGGCGACTTGAACGAGCTGGACTTCACCGTTGAGGGGAAGACTGGTTCTTGTGGAAGCTGTGCTCTGGGTGATGCCTTCCGCTGTGACGGTTGTCCTTACATGGGTCTTCCTGCCTTTAAGCCTGGCCAGGAGGTTCAGATTCTGAATGATGTTGCGCAGCTTTGAGATATATTCTCTACTTTACGATGTGGGCTACTTTTTTTTCCAATTTTGATGACGCAAGTGGGGTACAGGTATTTGCATTGGGCTTTTTCAGCATTTCTTTCTGGGGACTCTTTTTTTCGAGATGGTTTCATACAAAATTATGCTAAGGGCGTCTGGCTTCATTAATTTAGTCAAATTATTTTTGCTGTCTGATCGTGACTCACCTGAAGAGACTGAAATTTCGAGTGGAGCCCAACGTCATGTCTTAGATCTGATAGTGGGATGATCGGCCATATGCCGTTAATCTGCCGGATATAATGAATTTACTTTAGTATTTACCTACAATATTCTATTCATTGGCTGTATATTCTCAATTTTAAGCCGAATGACAACCAAGTTGCTTTCTAGCTACATATGCATCTGTGTTCATAGCACATCCAATCATGATAAAAGCCGAAAAGGAAAAAACAGAAGAAAAGTATATATGGCTTACCTGACCTATGACTGGCTCTTCTTCATGTGGGCAACACGGATGCTGACGGCACGCTTGTGCGCATCCAGGCCTTCCACAGCGGCGAGGGTCTCAACCGTCTTGGCGAGACCGAGCAGGCCATCGGCGGTCAGGCTAGAGCTGGTGATGTGCTTCAGGAAGGAGCCCAGGTTGACACCCGAGTACTGCTTGGCGTAGCCGTAGGTAGCTGGAAAGGGATATGTTAGCAAGATTGAAGCAGGAATATAAGAGGGAAAGTCGTTGCAGAGAGAGACTTACGCAGCGAGTGGTTGACTCCGGCGGAGTAATCGCCAACACTCTCGGGGGTCCAGGCGCCGATGAAGACACTGCCGGCGTTCTGGACATCCTTGACAACAGACTCGGGGTTCTGGACCTGGAGGATCAGGTGCTCAGGCGCGTAGTCGTTGCTGAGGGCCATGGCCTCGTTGATGTCACTCACAACAAAGGTGATGGAGTGCGCGAGCGAGCCGCGCACGATATCCATACGGGGCAGGGCCTTGGCCTGGGCATCGACCTCGTCTTCGATGGCACGCAGCTCGGCCTCGTTTAGGTCAACCGCGATGAGAATCACCTGTGAGTCGACGCCGTGCTCGGCCTGACTCAGAAGGTCGGATGCAACAAAGGCCGGGACGGCGGTCTTGTCGGCGATGACGAGGACTTCACTGGGACCGGCGGGCATGTCGATGCTGACGCCGGCGGAGGTATCGTTGGACACGAACATCTTTGCGGCTGTCACGAACTGGTTGCCGGGACCAAGGATCTTGTCGACCTTGCTGATGCTCTCAGTGCCGTAGGCCATGGCGGCCACGGCCTGAGCACCACCGGCCAAGACGATGCTCTCAGCGCCGACCTTGTGGGCGACGTAGACGATTTCGGGGGAGATGCTGCCGTCGGAGCGAGGGGGTGAGGCAAGGACGATCTTTTTGCAGCCTGCCACCATGGCGGGAACACCCAGCATCATCGCAGTGGATGGCAGCACAGCGGTACCACCGGGGATGTACAAACCAACACGCTCAATGGGACGAGAGAAGCGAGAGCAGACCACACCGGGCATGGTCTCCATCTGGAGGGCATCATTGCTTCCCTTCTGTGCGGAGTGGAAGCGGTCGATATTTCCAATGCTGATATCAATTGCCTCCTGGACATCGGGGGACAGCTTCATGAGTTCAGCGGGGAATGGCGCGTGGATAACGGGGGAGGTGAGTGATGTAGCTTTCTCGAACTTGTGGGTGTATTTGAGCACTGCAGCGTCGCCGCCATCGCGGACATCCTGGATGATCGGCTTCACCAGGTTGACAATGGCTTCGTTAGATTTCTGCGAAGGACGCTTAAGGTACTCGCTGACCACCTGGGGAGTAGTAGAGGCAGTGATAACACGCTTCATCTCGATTCGGGATGTGCGATCCTCAATCGGGGCGGGTGCGGGGGCAGGGGCAGGGGAAGGGGCAGGCTTTGACTCGGGCTTGGCCAGGCCAGCCTTCTCAGCCCAAGGTCCCTTAGCGTCGCCTTTTCTCCGCTTCACCTTCAAGCTCTTGAGGTCAAGATTGCGCTCGATATCCTCCAAGCTAACACCGGCAGCAGTACACTTGGTAAGGGCAAAGTAAAACAGGTCGGCGGCCTCGAAGGCAATCTCCTCCTTGGTCTCCGCACGGCACAGCTCATCAGCCTCCTCCATGATCTTAGCATCGATGAGCTTAGGCTCATTGAATAAACGCGCGGTGTATGATCCAGCCGGAGCGTCCGCCTTGCGGGCATTCAAAGTCTTCTGGAGACGAGACAGACCGGAAGACGCGCCGAAGCAGGTTTCAGTACCAAGGTGGCAGAATCCTAAATGAGTCACCATTGTCAGTATACATACATCATCCACCAACGTAGATAGCTGGTCTTACCACGTCCAATTTGCTTGACAACAAAGACCAAACAGTCGGCATCACAATCGAAGCCAATGCGGATCAACTCCTGTACATCGCCGCTGGACTGGCCCTTGTACCAGAGACCACGCTTCCGGCTCTGATAAACACCGGTGCCAGTACGCAGGGCCTCGACAATGCTCTCGTCACTGCTCCAAACAAAGCCCAGACAAGCTCCGCGCTCATCAGTGACCGAAGTGGCATACAGACCATTGGCCTGGTCAGTAACAGCGGTCGACGCAATAAGCTTAGCGGCGGAGATCTGGCCAGCCACATCCCGTTCAACGGTCAATGCCTGTGAGGGAATGACAGCAATCGCACCCTGCTTTGTGACTTGTATAATGGCATCCTCCGACACTCTCTGAGTACCGAAGGTTGTGAAGAGCCGTGGGGAGTCCGAGCTAATCTTCAATTTCTCGGCGGCGGTGGTGACGGTGGAGGGTGCAGTGCAGATGCTAGCTTCGCTGCGCTCGGCATTGACGGCAATCCATTGTTGGAAAGTATCCAATTGAGAGTCTGAGAGGGCGTTGACGAGCAAGCGGGAGGAGGGCACGGATTGTTCTTCGGAGAGTGTGATCAATTGGTCCAGGTTAATCAAGATCTTGGCGGCACCGGCGTTGAGGATATCGACGAGATCGCCGGCGGAGGAGATCTCAGTGGCGTCAACGAAGACATCGAGGGCGCGGAAGTTCTGGTGCAGGAATTGCTCTGCCTGGGCGAGACTCGAGACCTTGGTCAGTACGCGGCCGAAGTAGGCGATCTGCTTGAGCGAAAGTCCGGAGTCGGAGGCGGGGGAGGAGGGGTCGTGGGAGATAAGGAACGGGGTCGCCATGATGGGTATAGTAGTAATAGACAAAAAGATTGAAGAGGAGAATTATGTCCCCTAAAATATAGGACCCTTTCGAATTTGGGGGGGGGGATTGTGAAGGAGACCGATGACTCCCTTGGACAACCTTTTTTTTCCCGGGCCCCGCTGAATCATCGATTAGCCCGGCGCCGGGGCCCAGGTCTATCATGAGATTTTGATTAGTGATTCTATTTTGTGATATGTCTCCATCTCTGCATTTCTTCATTTGTGAATCCTCTATCCGATGTTTCATTAAGATGATTACATCTAGGCCATAGATCATGGCTAACTGAATGGTGTATAGGCCCACGCTTGCTGTTCATGTCAATACAGCCAGAACAGCACATGATTCTCCGGCAGAAGTAGTGCTCACAGCTGAGTACAACCGTAGCTGCCATCTCATACCAGGATACTGGTGCGTTGGAATTTTGAGCGATCAATGTTCAAGCAGTCCCCCGAGATCAAGGCGAGCCATGCTGCTGCCGCCGCAAGAGAAATGGTGTTTGCCTCCTCCCGTGAGATGTTTGTAGGATGCTTGCAGGAAATGCGTTGATCTGCGGTAGCGTATTGACTATATCCACCCGTCTCTGGTGTTTCCCCTTGTACTGTGTCAAAGGTTATACCTATCACGGCGACATTGCTTTTTCAGGTCATGACTCACCACGCCAGACCAGTCCTGCCACCGTGCCAACCCTATCAAGTCGAGTGACTGTGTCTCCTAACTCAGTCACTTCTCCAAAAAAACATCCAAGTATTGCTCCATCGCCAAATGCGATGAATTTACACCAAAGCATTGGACTCTAGAGCACGAGCGACATGGGTCGAAGGGGGCAGAGTATCAGATCATACCATCCGTTGGGCTATGTGCTACATGCGACACCTTTGATTCGCATTTGATCAGTCCCAGGTATCTGTCGGGGAAGTGTCGGGGAAGTGCTTCTTTGACCAATTTGTGCTGTCCTTATGGAACTTGGACAACTAGTGATGTGTTGGATGATCCCATGGTGAAGGATGTGGAGACTCGAAGGCAAATGGATTCAATTTAAGAATTCATTTGCTTGAACATTCTCCATCATCCATTCAGATTCCAAATTGGTATCGAATCGACAAATACAAGTGGAAGCACCCAAGCCAACTTGCAAGTGTATGGGGTGCCTCCACGTAGATCGCTATGAAGGTGTACTTAACTGCAAGCGCCGGGACTTATTCGAGATATTTTGAAGCTGGAATTCCGAAGGAGCAAAAACCTATATGCTGGAATGATTGGAAACCATAAGATCGTCGCGTCAATATCAGATGCAAGATCCCGATCAGGCAAGACGAGGTGCATCGGGGATAAGTGCCTTATCGGCGACAAATGGCCCCTTTAGGACACCGCCATTTCTTTGAACGATTCTTTCAACAAATTGATGCCAAGTGCGAATACGAGGATAAGCATGCTTAGCGTAAACCCATCAGTTAAAAGCCATCTAACCCCAAGTAAGTACCTTGTGAGCATCAATCCTATTCTGATATCAATATGCCATTTCCACCCACCCCCACCGGCGAGAGCAGCTCCCACTCCGGCAACTGCCACTGTGGTGCCGTGAGGTTCAACTTCACATTATCCCCGCCCCTGCACGAGTACCCCACCAACACCTGCAACTGCTCCATCTGCTCAAAGAACGGCTACTTGCTCGTGTACCCCTTCACCAAGGATTTTACGGTCGAAAAAGGCGAGGATGTGCTGAAAGATTATCGCTTTGGCAAGCGCACGGTGAAGCACCAATTCTGCGGGGAGTGTGGAAGTAGTTGCTTCATCCGTCTCCCGGAAGGTGGATTAGAAGGATTCCCGCCGATCACTGCGGTCAATGTAAGTCGAATGGCCAATGTTATGTTGTAGCTACTAATTATATTAGGTACGACTGCTACGGGACTTTGACGTTGAGAAACTGATTCTCAACAAGGTTGATGGAAGGTCATCCGCGCCAGAGTACAAAGTCTAGATCGGTTCTTATCCTACGATCTCATGATTTGGCCCAAATTGATGGTTTAACATAGCACTGTCTACCTAGGTAGTGTAGAAATGGTGGCAGATGATTTGGAGAGCATATGACGAATAAATTATGTATAGTAGAATTCTAAAACACTTACGCTTTGGCAATTTCCCAGATGCTAGGGTATTATCCGGGTACATATGTTGTATTCTCAACCGAAACTTCCGAACTACAAGTACTTGAGACAGGTAGTTGGAGTCCAAATATACAATGTCGGCACGGACCTACTAGGCATTCAAGGTCGATATAAATGTCCCTCTGTTGGAATCAAGTCCATCAGGCTCTCGAAACTTGGAGGAGGTGGCTTGTGTTAACGGGTCAGACACTCCAGTCTGGTGACGAAACCCATCATATTGAGGGGTATGTTGCATGTCAAAGCACCCGGCGTGACAGCAAGTGCTTTTTAGCAGCCAAGCTCGTGCTAGTCGGGTACATCCTGGAAACCCTTGTTATGAGCACCGAAGACAGGGGCCATGTTCTCAAGTGGTCGTCTGGCTTGGTCACTCGTATACTTATCCATGGATGGTCTCTGCGAAAATCCGAGTCAAAGGTCGATCTAGAACATGGAATCGTACTCGAATATATCAAACAAGATTTCAAGTATGTGAAAACTGAGACTAAAGATACTTCGGCCACTTGCATTCTCCGATGCGCGCCAATAGTTAGTGGTGCCCTTGCAGATCCCCCCTGAATCTTGTCCGATTGGATCCTTTCATTTTTACAGGAATGACATCCAATACACAATGCACTATTCCCAATTTCATGGTGATCAGAATGCAAGTAACAGGGGAATAGTAAACAAGTCGGGGTCGCGTGTCGGCGTGCCCGCGTGCTGCCTTCCCCTTTCGCCTCTTTCTTGTCGACTGCAACTTCGTAAATCCTCATTCCGCACTCCCATCATATTTAAGAATTGCATTGACCTGCTGCATTGCAGTCCAGGTGGTCCCTCGTTTGCAATTAAAATTATTCTTACATGTGCCCCTTGCACCGAGCGATCGTGCCTAAATAAACCCGTATATCTATACCCAACCACATCCACCGCGCAATCATGCGCATCTCCTCTCTGTCATTTCCTTTGGTGCTGGGTCTCGCTGGGTCCGCTACTGCCTACCCCTACCGTGAGCCAGAGGTGATCTTGCGCCGCGGATCGGAGGACCAGGCCAAGGCCGATGCTGTCAAGGAAGCCTTCCAACATGCATGGAATGGATATGTCAAATATGCTTTCCCTCATGATGAGTTGCACCCCGTGAGCAATGGCTACGGTGACTCCAGGTGAGCATGTCCGATTATTCAGTTCACAGCAAGAACTGACATGGGACAGGAATGGATGGGGAGCTTCCGCTGTCGATGCGCTTTCAACCGCCATTGTTATGGGTAATAAGGATGCTGTTCAAAAGATCCTGGACCACATTGAAACTATTGACTTCTCGAAGACCGAGAGCGAGGTCAGCCTGTTTGAGACCACTATCCGATACCTTGGTGGCATGTTGTCCGGCTATGATTTGCTTAAGGGTCCTGCAGCAAATCTTGCCCCTAAGTCAACTCAAGTCGATGCCCTGCTTGCCCAGTCCAAGAAACTTGGGGACGTCTTGAAGTTTGCGTTTGATACACCATCCGGAGTTCCCTACAATAACCTTGACATTGCTTCCAAGGGAAATGATGGCTCCAGAACTAACGGTCTTGCAGTAACAGGAACTCTGGTATTGGAGTGGACCCGACTGTCTGATTTGACTGGCGACGATGAGTATGCCAAGTTAAGCCAGAAGGCCCAGTCATACCTTTTGAAGCCTCAGCCATCAAGCGGAGAGCCGTTCCCCGGCCTGGTGGGAAGCAACATCAACATCTCCAACGGCCATTTTACCGACGGTGCTGTCTCTTGGAACGGCGGCGATGACTCGTTCTACGAGTACCTAATCAAGATGTACGTGTACGACCCCAAGCGGTTCGAACCATACAAGGACCGCTGGGTCCTCGCAGCCGAGTCGACAATCAAACACCTCCAGTCGCATCCCGCCCCTCGCCCGGAAATCACCTGGCTGGCATCATATTACAACGGTCAACAGGATCTGAGTTCACAGCATTTGACCTGCTTCGATGGCGGCAGTTTCATCCTGGGCGGTACCGTACTGGATCGGCAAGACTTTATTGATTTCGGCTTGAAGCTCGTGGATGGGTGCGAGGCTACTTACAACCAGACCCTGACCGGCATTGGACCAGACTCGTGGGGCTGGGATCCGAAGAGAGTGCCATCCGACCAAAAGGATTTCTACGAGAAGGCCGGGTTCTACATGGACAACGGTTCATATAACTTGCGTCCTGAAGTGATCGAGAGTTTCTACTACGCATACCGCGTCACGGGGAATGAAACCGTGAGCCATTCTTCCTTCCATTGATTTTTGGAAGAAACTGACCCATATATAGTACCGCGACTGGGTGTGGAACAGTTTCAAGGCGATCAATGCTACCTGTCGCACTGACTCGGGATTTGCTGCTGTAAGCAACGTGAATACAGCTGGAGGCGGCGCAAAGTACGATAATGAGGAGAGCTTCCTCTTTGCCGAAGTCATGAAATACGCGTACCTTGTACATGCGGAGGGTAAGTTGCTAGCTTTTCTAGTCTCCTTCTTATTTTCTCAACATAACGCTAATGGGCTTTGGTACAGATGCCCCATGGCAAGTTCAGAAGGGCCAAAAGAATGCCTTCGTATTCAACACCGAGGCTCATCCCATGCGCGTCGCACACACCTAGTCTATAGGATAGTTGGGCTATCACTACAGTACAGTATATAGTGCATGCATCAAGCCTATGTTACCCTTCTGCCATTGGATTTGATGTAAGAAAGTGATAATTCAGTATCTATGTAAACCATAACCATCTTATGTACCGTACCACTTGCCTAGAAATACTAACTGCGTCTTTGAAAACTGACGCCTTCAACTCAGACGACTCTCCGATCTGGCATACATCATCAATTGCGCCATTTCCAGAACCGGCGACAATACCTCGCGACGGAATGAAATCAATTTAGGCAAATTAAACACGGAGAAATCCCCATGAAATAGGCCATAAGTACTAGCCCGGATAATATGATGCTATCCGCAATGTGTATCACGAAAACGCTAAGTTGCTAAGCGTACATATGTAGATATCGGGAAAGAGCAAGCTTCATTATCCGCTGCGTATAAGATGTCTATGGAGTTCTCTTGGAAAAATAGTAGAAAAGTGACAACTTACCGCCCCAACAAAAGCCATTAAGCCATGGCTTTCCTCAAACAAACTATCCTGGCAGCCTTAGCAACAACACCTTCACTCCACCAAAGCACCAACGGCTACTACCGCTCACGCCCCGACCTCGCACCACCTCAATTAAATATCACCATCCCCGCCGCAAACCCTAATGGCTCCGAATATGTCTTCATCGCCCCTTTCCCTTTCCCTATGGGCGGGACCCTCGAACGGCCCGGTCCGTACATCTACCGCAAAGACGGCGACTTAGTGTGGGCCGGAACAGGGTACTACGGCGACGGCGCGGGTGATTTCCATCCTACCACCTACCAGGGGAAACCTGTTCTCCAGGCATTCCAGGGTATTGTGGATGCTGCCCATGGGGTAGGGTTTGGTCAGCATGTCCTGCTGGATCAGTGTTATCAGCATGTTGTCACCTCGACTGCTGGGAATCATCGTATTTCGTCGCTTCATGAGTTCAATGTTATCCGGGGAGAGACGGCTTTGATTGAGGTATTTTATACGACTCCGGCAAATTTGTCGGCTTATGGTGGGAATTCTTCGCAGCAGTGGTTGGGGAATGGGAATTTTCAAGGTTTGTTGATGAAAACTGGATGATGAGTTTGCTGATTCTTATTTATTTGTTAGAAATTGATATCGCCACGGGGGAGTTGATCTTTGAGTGGAATGCTTTGGAGCACGTTGATCCGTCTGGTAAGAGAATTTGCTGTGACTCGACAAAGACACATTTTCATTGAAGCACCAACTAACCTTCAACCAGAAAGCACGGTGCCACTAGGTTCTACAAATATCAATAGCGGACTGTCTCGCGCCGAAGCATGGGATTACTTCCACATCAACAGCCTTGACAAAAACGAAGAAGGCGACTACCTGCTCTCGTCACGAAACACGAACACGATATTCAAGATCAGCAGCACAGACGGCTCAATCATCTGGCGACTCGGCGGCAAGTACCCTACCTTCTCACAAATCGGCAACTGGACGTTCGGAGACCAACACGATGCCCGGTGGCAACCGCAACTAAGCCAGCCGGGTACTGAGGTGATCTCGTTCCTCGACAACTTCGGTGACGGCACCACCACATTCAACGACGTGTCTCGGGCATTGGTTGTCCAGATAAACCACACGGATAGCACGGCGACGGTTCTCCGGAAGGCAACGGCACCGTACAATCTCCAGGCACTATTGCAGGGAAATGCGCAGATGCTTTCTGACGACCGAATCTTTGTCAACTGGGGATCGGAGGGTGCTTTCACGGAGTTCGGTGCTGATAATGAGATTCTGTACCATGCGTTTATTCAGACGGGGTCGGTCAGCTATCGTGGCTTCTTGTCGAATTGGACTGCTGCGCCGAAGGAATGTCCGGCGCTGGTTGCTCTGAAAACTGCTTCTGATCTTGTTGAGCTCTATGTGTCTTGGAATGGGGATACAGAGACTTCGACTTGGAGATTCTTTTATGTCAACGGGCAGAGAAAGACGCGAATTGGCCATGTGGATAGAGTGTCCTTTGAGAGCTCGTTTACTTGGAAATCGCCTTTTACGCTGCCTTCCTCTGCTAGATTTGTTGCCGAGGCTGTTGGCGCGAATGGGGAGTGTCTTGCGCAGACGAGTTTGACCGCTATCACTGCCAACATTGAGTTGCCGGTGTGATGGCCAAGATTGGGGGGATTGAAATGAAGGCAGATTTGATGTTATGGCATACTCGGTCGCAGTTATTAAGACTGCTGCACAGGGCGATGAAGTAAATCAAACTCCAAAGGACGTTCATATATCGTATTAGACGTTAAATAAAGGGACATTAACAGTACAAATTATACATTAGACATTAAACTTCACTTAGAAGTAGGCCTCCAAATAAGCCATACAACCACTTAAAATTATAACCCATATAGAACCAACAGCCAGTGGCCATCAAGCGTCGAAAGCCTGTTTGGCGTTCGGCTGCTTTCTAGCCTTCCGCAGCCTATGACAGGCGATAGAGGCACGCACACAAAGGATGAGGTTGAAGAGGCTGAATGATCATCTTCCGTCAGATATAGAAACACCAAAGAAACAAGAAACAGTAGACTCACATTCCAAGAAGTATCATTGAACACCCCAAGCACTCAGCCCCATACAATGGGCCAAGATCATGGGTACTGGAGTAACCATAACCACCAAGGTTATAATAGACAAGCTCGTGCAAATGGAAACAGACTGTGATAACCTGGGCAATAAAAGCAATGCAATCGAATGCAACGATTACACCAGGGTGAACAGCGCAGTTGCAAAAGACGACGATGAGAAAGATAGTGGACCAGACGAATCCGTATGAGGCCTATGACAGAAGTGTAGAGTCAGCGAGTATTCTTTATAGCACCTGATAAAACTATCCTAGTGGGGATGTTTGGACTCACTGTGCCTAGGTTCATGCTAGACCATGCTTCTCCCAGCCCATCGGTTGAAACGACTCCTTCATGATGTTGTACCATGGCCCAAGCAAAGCAGATTATCGCTATCATTGTACATAGCACTGTGCCGAATCGCAGAGACAGAAGCGAAAGCCATTTTTTCTCTTTCCTGGGTACTGCTTCGATGCAGAAACAAGGGGAGGGTTGGTGGTCTATGGTAGACATAGTTATAAGTGGTATGAGAAATTAAATATTATAGGGACTATAGAGAGAAAAGAGGAGATGATAACCCATGATTCAGGAGTACTTATAAACCAAAAAATGGTTCATATGTCATGCTAATCATTGCCCTTTATAGGCTAACACAGCCCTCGAGATGCGGTGGCAATGCCAAAGGGCCTATCAAGATGACCCCACAAATCCCGATCGGACCAGTAGATTCGATTAACGGTTGCGGAGTATTTATGCAGGGTCCAATCCACATCAGTGGCCCCCAAGCTGAGCCTCTTACCCGTTCGGTAAGTCATGCGTTTACACTGTCGAAGGGGTTTGTCTTGGCACTTGGCCAACGCTACGGATACGAGGGGAGGCATATCGCAGAGTCTTGGGACGAATCATCGTTTCTATAAATATATTGGCTTTTACATTTTGACAGTTCCTGCTGGTGGCTAAGGCAATTCGGGTAGAAGATGCAGTTTATTCGATGATTAAATGCTGGCGAATCCGCATATACGACACCCATTTCCTTTGCCACTCCAATTCTCTGGAGTTACTCCTGGCGTAAGCAGGACATGCTACCGGTTGTTGCCCTAGAAGTAGAGGGGAAGAGAAGACTAATCATATTGTGTAGCTGCAGTAGCCGCCTAACAGGAGCTGCAGCTCATGGTGGACCTACCTACGTCATACTTCTTTTAACCAAGCTTCTACTTTCCTACGGCCAATATTGGAAGGGCAAGATAACCCGAGCCCAGGGGCCAAACGGAGTCGAAAGGACTGGTGGCCGAGGCGGCAGCACTAACTCAACTTGGAAGACGAGCTAGGTGTAGTGAACTCGCTGCTAAGGTCGAGTTGGCACTGAAGGCAGTGCTTTTGGGTATAGAAGACGATATATACTGCGTTATGCACGTCTTACATAGACATAAGAGTTGATAGTAACAGAGGGATAATATTTCCAATAATAATAACAAAACAAAACAAAGAAGACAGACATCAACACCGATGTATATACATCCGTTAGCAGCAGAGGAGGGGGAGTTGACCTTCTCACTTGCCCTTGAAGGCATCCTTTAAAGAATCGATCACACGTGAGGTCGGCTTAGTGCTGCCGACCTGTTGGGGGAGCCTGTACCCCGGCGGCGCTGTAGCAAACCGCACCGGAAGGTTGCTTTGGGTTGGCGCAATAGGTCGTACTGCTGGTTCACAACGGCCAAATAGCTTTGAACACAGCATTGATGGAATCTGCCTAGTAGGTTGACAAGCCTCCGATCATCTGAATGAGAACGGCCTCAAATGACGAATATCCTTGCCGATATCTTCGGCAAAAAGGTGAGGGTTTGGAACTGGATTGGGAGGATACGTTCAGAGACCCATCATTTCCCAATCAACTTCACCAATGTTCGAACAACAGAGGATGTGGTATTCGAGGCCATTATAGTTCTGTCCGTTTGGTACGCTATGTCAAAACAGCTTGGGAAACGTGAACCGAACATGGGTGGCTATGCTATGTTAGTTACCTGAGGTTTCTGAATGTTTAACATCCACAACCAATTCCTGACCATCTCGTTCCTTCGCGGCTGCTAGGCGGGGCGGCAGCAGCCAAATAACCATGAGCTGTTCGCTGAGATCAAAAGGCAATTCCTTTGAAGCTTTGTCTTCAGAGAGTCTCATTTACCCTCTGTCTCATCGTCTTCTTCCTGGTCCATGTCAACCGCCCCGAGTCTGGCTGTCTGGGCCTGGCTGTGACCCGTTTTCCACGGTAGTAAAACGACAAAGAATGGCGGTTGTGACTCTATGCCCTTTCTTTTTGGACTCACGGGATAATCGAGACACCGGCTCCGACTGAGCTGTTTGAGTAACGTAACAGCCTTTTACGTTTTGCTCATTATTGATCCATCGTTGTTATGCTGGCTGATAGTGGCACTGATGCGTTGCTTTGGAATTTCGTGTGGTGTCCTTGGTCCTTACCATTCCTGGAAAGGGCTCCAATCTGGATTATGTGTTGTATTCCTGGGAGTCGTATGTTGGGGCACGCGGAAGCCTTTAAGAAGGTCTTATTGTGCCTCAGTGTTAGGCCTCCACGAAGCTTCCGGCAGATAAGAAAGAATTCCTCTACCAGAATCCAGAAGTTCAAAGGTTCGTCGAGCTCGTAACCCAGGCGATACTTCCCGCTGCGCTGACTGAAAATGAGATCGCGCATTGTCCAGGCGCTGATATCAAGACAAGGAAAAATATCTCAGGACCACCATAGCTTGTTGTGGTCGAAGGGGGACTTGGAAAAGATCATGATGCCAAGTAAGGCACCATGTCATCCCTTATATCGAAAGGCAAGATCCCTGACCCGCTCAATTTATGTAGATTCGGCGTGACTTGCGGGTGCTAGTTACATGTAAGTAACTAGCAGATATACCGATAAATAGAGCCCTCTGGAGTGCGGACTAGCTTACGTCGCAATTCTGCATAATCCGTTACCGCCCAGGTAGTAAGAGCCCGGCTCTCGCACGTCCTGTCCTGTTTTAGACGCAATGTCCAGGCAGCTATGAGACCACTTGGCTACCGTGTGTCGCTGTTGATCATCGGTGTCACAAGGTTGGAAACAGCCTAGAAGCCTCATTAGTATGCCTTTTCTGCTTTGTGGAGAGGGAATGAACTACCCGTTCCAACCATGGCTCCAGGACTCTTTTCAAAATCGCATCAAAGTTTTGAGACTGGGAACGATAAAAGTGACAGGGGCAGCCAGTCCACCCCACCGGTGATGATCAATGAAGGTGAGAGGAAGAGAGGAGCTCGAAGAAAACGAACTTTCCCTGAGAGTCTCTGTAAATCAGGCAGGAACGATGCACCTCCATTTTAGTACCTCACTCGTCTGTCCTTCGTATCTCTCTCTACCTCTACCTGTATCTTTCCCATCTCTATTGTAGTCTCTCCAATTCCCTCCGTCCTCGTCTCTCTATGTTTTCCAGTTCCTCCCCTATTATCTGGTTTTGTATCTCAATTTCTCTCTCCATTTCCTCAATTTCCTCCACTTCCTCCTTTCTCTGTCTTCGTCTCTCTCTTTCTTCTAGTCCCTCCCTTATCTGTCTTCGTCTCTCGATCCTCTCAATCGCTCTTTGTATTTCCCTTTGTCTTCGTCTCATTTCTTCCTGTTCCTCCCATAGTCTCTCTCGTATTCTCTCGGTTTGCCTCTGTCTTTGTTCTTTTTCTTTCTGTTGGTTGCGTATCCGATCTTCCGATAGAGCATATAGCAGGTTGAGCTTGAAATCGTCCGATATATGACGTAGCACCATCAAAATATAGTCCTTCGTAGGCTTAGGCCCATCTCGGAGATAGGACCATAAAAATGTCTTGTAGAGTTAGAAATGGACCTTATTCCACCCTTCGTTCTCGTTAGCTGGAATTTCATCCCTCGATCGACAAGGTACCGACTGCATGTAGACGGTACAACAGACCACAAAACCGTGGCGGTTTGTAAACTAGCAAAAGGCAAACAGCAAATACTAGGGCCTTTCAATTATCGGGCTTACAGTACTCCCTTACTCATGCCATCAGAGGCGTCCACGTATGAGTTTCTCTAATTTCGGAATGGCCTATGAAAATGCCAACATGGTGCGATAGTTAATGTATTATAGCTCTCTCGATATAGGCTGATTCCCGAGACTCGAGTCTTTGTTCGTATCTCTATTGCTATTATTTCCTTCTATTTCAACTACTTTCAATATCTATGCGTTTCGTCTTTATTCTTAGCTTCAACCCATTTACTCAGTAGGATGCTGCTATCCCTAATTTATATCCCCAAACATTTACCGTGGAGTACATTTAATCTCTTAGGGAGGAATGAATAGCACTTTGGAAATCACTTGTCTAGGGCTCACTCCAAGCTTGCACTAACAAATCAAAAGCATAATCCAAATGATAACTTATTTTCCAACGGTCGCTTTCTTTGAGTAGCGCGTGACTGAAACTCTCAGACCAAGTAGAGATAACCTTAGCCTCAAGCCAAAGAAGTTACCCGTGTCAAATCAGAATGAAAATTAGCTGAGGCCTTACGATCAGGGTTTGAATGCAAAATTCCTATATCAAAGAAACAAAATGCTAAATGCATACATGCTGACTAGAGGATTGCGCTAATAGGCAACAATTCTGCTAATATCTGGTCGTACGCCTTGTCGACCGCCTAATCACCGTTCTCGCATCCGCCGTATATTCATACTGTGCGAAACGGCAGAGACGGATGTATCCGCCACTCTCTGCTCGTCCCAGTGATCGTCCCAGTGCTCGTCCCTCTGCTCGTCCCTCTGCTCGTGCCAGTGCTCGTCCCTCTTGCTCTTCTCTGTTGCCATTGAAATTTTCCCGTATAAACTGTAGCACATCATAAATAAGTTCTAACTGAGGGAAGCATCTGGAGATTGGGCCAAATATATGAGATCCGTCCCATTCTAGATAAGCTCGGTAGTCGAAGCTGCTGAAAAAGTCTGGTCCCACACGCCTTGGGCGACAACATTCGGGATATCGGGGATATTCCTCGTCCTTGATTTGGGCACAAAAAGGGCCATAATCGTTGCATATATGAAAGTGCGCATGCCAGAATGGGGGACCGCGACTGTACAACTTTCTGCTGATCCAGATGATGCACATACTGATTTTAAGGATCAGGATTGTAATCTGCCTGTCAAAAGCTTGACAAAGGGTACGCTTGAAAAGGAGCGGAGGTGGAGCTGAAACCCGAGAAGTAAGGGAAAAGAAGGAAGAGATGAAGTCTTCTTCTGGTTGAATCTTGGTGGCTGCTTGGAGAAGAGAAGGAAGTGATCGAGTATTTAACTCACCCTAAGTTATTGCCCTCATAAACTATACTAGGGGCCTTATCCTTTTCTATGATTAAGCAAAACATCACGAGTTTCAAATAACCGTGGGCAATAGCTGTTGAATTTGTATTATGACTCGATACACTTGCTGTTTCAAATTCTGGTGTATGACGACCAGTAGGTACCTAAGTAGGTAGTGTCTGCCCAGGTGAAGTTGCTCTTTATAATGACAAGTAACGTTCCATGGAGGGCGTCCACGTATGGCTCTCCTTGATTTTGGAATGGCCTATCAAATTTCCTAGCACAGTATCGTGACTTTAATTTCTGCTATTATTTTTTTGGTTTCACTATTTCTGAGAGTCCGTGGGGTTACTTGTGCGAAAGAGCTGTACTTGGTATTGGTTTCAATCACTTTACTGGTTGGTGTTATAGCTACCTGTTATCTGTAAATACAATTAATCGTAAAGTAGTCTCTGAGAGAGAAAATAGACCACACTGGTTTCGACAATCATCCGTCCAGGGCTTCGACCCCTATACCAACAAATCAACCACAACCCAATGTACACTGCTTTTCACTTGTTTCAGAGATGATACGACGGTACCTTTGGTCAACGTCCGTAGGTCCACATGATGAGTCTAGTAATCGAAGCGAGACTGGGCAAGACAATAGCAGACAAGGTGAGGCGGGTCAGAAAGTGACAATCCTGGCACGACAGCTAACCAGCCAGATCAGAACAATCCCTGACTTTACACCCGACACGTTCAAGAGCTGTTACCAACATGAGCATCCAGAGCTTTGACCCGCGCAACTACTCTCTCGACCGATCCGGTGAAGCTCCGAGAGGCCACCGATCATCCTCGGCCTCTCGTGGTAGGAGAGCCAACCGCACTAGGGATGACACGCATTCGCACCAGTCCACTCGACAGCGCAGCTCTGAGAACGAATCATCTCAACAGACATCACCTCCACCCCAAATACCCCGAACCCCAGTAATAAGACCACTACGGCAATCAACACCAAGATGGCAGCTCTCAGACCCCATTCCAATACCACCCCGACGACCTACTGACGGAAGTTCTCATCAACACCCTCCACTCCCTTTCGTCTCTGAAGGCTCCTGGGCTGACTATGTCTCAGGTAATACTGTTTCCAATTACCGGGCCATCGGGGCTCAATATCAAGCATGGATAACAGGTCAAACCACAACAGAATGCCCAATCCGACGCTCAAGAGTCACCTGGACAGACTTAGTCCACCACCCACTCGAAGAGTACAGCTTTGAGGTGTATCTCAACGAGATAAGACCAACGCCCGAAGAAGCGGGGAATATCCAATCGACCGGGCTCTCGATGGGGAATAATTGGCGTTATGTTTTTCTGAGACGATATGGACACTGGGATGATGGACGCCAAGCGGGTTATACCGTTTACCAGCACCGTACCGGGCTCGGCGCTATCTTCGTTGAGAACATTACCAGACGATTCGGACCTTACTGGGCTCAAGTGGCTCAAGCGCAGTACCAACTTGACAATCACATCGATACCCTCCGGTACGTTTATTTCATCAACGTTCAAAACCTGTGCACTTGGCCCTACGTGGAACACCATTTATACCCTCGTCATGGCTTGCACTGGTTTGACGACTATGAGCCCCAGTGTTGGACATACGGTACGAGAGAGTACCAGGAGCTCCTGGGTACGAAGCTGGGAAGGGGAGTAGCTCGTCTGGTTCTGGGGGCTTGGCCGAGAGGCACGCATCGCATTGACACGATTTATACGTGGACTTTTATCGGAAACTTACAGATGAGGTTTGATATTAAGCGAATTTGATTCATTTGCAAGCTCGATGAAGCAAAAGGGTATACTGATTCAAAGTACGGCCAATTATAGAAAGAGGAGAAGCGCCAGCCTCTGCTAGCGGTTTTGACAGAACATCGAAGGAACGCGTCTATTGGCCATGACAGGGAATAGCGCCATGGTTGCTAATATGCGTCCGGGTATAATGTAACGATCTAAACGCCTATATAGTATGTAGTATAGTAAGGCGCATAAAGACGCCAGTTGGCAATGATGCTCAATCTAGTGGACAAGAGAGAGCCTGGGATTTTAACACCCTCGTATCAGCTCTGTGCACGATCGAATAAGTTACGAGTCGGCACACTATCACGACCTCAAAACATCCAACACGAGCATAATAAGACTTGATAGGAGCACTCATAGCAGCCAACAATTTAAACTGCGCCCTACCTGACATTTATGACATTCCAAGGTTGCTTTGGCATTTTATATAGATGGCTCAGCAATATACATGTCAATCTCACGAATCACGGCATGTATTCCGGTACCTCAAACAGATGCGCCTCAACCAATATTCAAAAAGTCAAACACGTAATTCTGACAAGGAAGGGGATCTCACTCCGTCCTCTGTCGACAGAAACAAGACGATTTGATAGGCACATCCGCCCAGGCTAAACTAACCTTCAGTTGCGGTAACATGGCACGCGCCTCATACTTCCGACCCATCTTGACCAAACACTCATGATACCCATGCGAAGCCCACACATTACCCGGATGCCTCAAAGCCCGAGGCAGGGATGTGTCAACTCCAAGGTCCGCAGCATATACAGCCGCAGCCTCCTCAACACGATCCTGTTCGAGCAACAATGCCCCCAGCGCGTGTCTAGTGGGCTGCATCCAGCCCCACGGTTCATCATACGGCAACGAATCATCCCTCTTAACAGCGTCCCGGAGATATGAAAATGCAGTATCGTATTCGCCACGGCGATACGCAATCTCGCCATCCAACATCGCCTCACCAACACCGAGAATGTCGACGCAGCGATTATTGAAGATTGTCCGCGAAGCCGGGACAAGCTTCATTGCTCGCAAAAACCGTTCCCGCTCTTCCTCTGCTTCCGAAACACGGCTGGTAGCAGCAAGCGCGATGCCTTTTGCATAGTGGATCATAGCAGTGGTGACACAGTACAGCTCTGCATCCTCCGGCAGCTCTACAGCAATGATCTCCTCCCAGCGACCGAAGCGCACGAATCCATGCATCTGCATGGCGACGAAGCCCTCCAGCCAGTCTGCCATCGGTGGGGACTCGATGCGCAGGAGAGACTCAGTTATTATCCGCGCGAGCTCGGCCCCAGACTCAAGTGCCACCTTCGATCGACCGCCCAGCATCGCAGCATACATCCTGAAATGATAATCGTGTGCGCGGTACAAATTATAGAAATGGCCCAGGGGCTGGTTGGCAAGGAACTTCTCATCTGCTCGGATTGCAGAGGTATTAGCCGTGACTGCGCGTTTGTACTCGCCACACAAGACATCGATGTGGGAAGGCATGTGCTCCAGATGACCAGCATCTGGCACAAGACCACGCAGATACTCTGCTACCGGCAGGGCAGTTTCAGGCGTGGGGGACATCTCCATCAGATGGATGTAGAGATGCAAGATACCTGGGTGATCGAAGGATTCGTCTCGCTCCAAGACTCGATCTAGGGCTGTTTTTGCTTCGAATGTCTTTGCTCCTGGTGCTGCCTCGCCGGTCTTCACGTCCCACAGACCCCATGGAGTGAGGTTCATCAGTGCATCGCAGTACAGCGCGGTCACGTCGAGGTCATCCGGGTAATCATTGTACACTGATGTCATTGCCTCGGCGTATTTCTTATCCCATTTCGTGCAGTCTTCAAGCGGCTCTTCTTGTGGGTACCGGTGCTGCAGTGCATCGATAAGAGCATTCTCTAATGGCGTCGCGGCTGGAGAGTGTCTCTTCGCCTCGAGGATCGCGCGATGGGCGCGAGTCGTGGTGGCGGAGAGGTCTTCTCCGTCGAAGAGCTGCCACGGCTTATTATAGTTAGGCCCTAAGGCAAGGGCAATGCCCCAGTATCCCATGGCGCATGTCGGGTCGAGCTCGACGACCTTTCCGAAGCATCGGACAGATTCTTCGTGATTGAAGGCGTAGGCCCAGATCAAGCCCCGACTAAACCAGAGCTGGGCGTCTTCGTTTGTTGCGCTCACATTCCGACGGTAGTCACCTAGGTTATAGTAGTCCTCGGCGGAAGAGAGCTGGTCCATTTTGTTGATGATGGGTTGGGTATGTTGTGGCGGAGGAGGGGTATGATCTCCCAACCGGCCCTACCCCGACTCGCATCTAACCATCTTGATCACATTAGATACCGGGATAAGCGCCCATAGTGAAACGAAGTATGTACTGGGAGTTATTTATAAATAGTGACAGCTCAGAAAATCGCCTGAGGCAGTCATTCATTCCTGAGGCAGTAAGGCAGTAAGTAAGGCACCCAACGTCCCCACATGCGCAGATTTGAGTAAATCCACTTTTAATGTGCTCACTCGTGCTCGATCACCCTCACCCTGAGCACCTTGCGGGCCTATTGAGAATCCTATTTAGATGGTCCTTTTGTCCCTTTTCTTTGTCTTTGTTACCTTCAACATTCATAATCACTTGTATATAAACCCTCTTTGTATCTCATTTAAACATTTTCACTTTTATAGATCATGTGTGGAGACACCAACCGCCCAACATTCGGAGGCACTATTGCCGTCCTATTTCCTCGAGGGACTCATCAGAGCTCGAACACTTCAGATGCATCATTATCCTCATCACCAGAATCAGTGTCCTCGTTTGCATCCTCATCGTCGACTGCCTCAATGTCATCATACTCTCTTTTCTTCCGGGACACGGATGCAACAACCCGTAAGACAAGAGCAATATTCCGAACGGAAGATGCAGAGACATATCACGCACTCAGAGGATGTCGAAATGTCGATATGCGTATTGAGTAAGTTGATTCTGTGTCATGAGTTATGGAAGGACGGACAAAAGGCTTACAGTTCATATCAGGAAATATGGTGATCTCTCCACTACATCACAATCCACCCCTCCGCTTTATCAGTTCCGCTTGAATATGGAACATGACAGAAACTCTAAGACGGTAAATCCCACGGAGATCGAGTTGGAGCTGCCCGAAAGGCTGGACCTGGGCGTCTCCGAGAAGGGTGTCATCGGCCGACAAGTGACGGTCAGAGGGCAAGGGGGTTCGATCCTGGGGATTGGAATAGTGGGATACAACTAAAGTGAGGAGCTCTACTCTCTACAAACATACTTCATAGACATAATTGGAATCATAAGCCATTTTGCATGAATTGGAAATACTATGTTTCTTCAGTGGAGTACCGGGTCATCCAAACTAAACGAAACCGAAACCTAGTTCGATATTGAACTTCACAGCTTCAACGGGTTTTCAACACCAGCAGTGTAACGCTTCTCCGCTTCCGCCCAGTGGATGATCTTCCAAATTCCCTCAACATAGCCAGCCTTGTTGTTAAGGTACTGTACACAACACAGATTAGCAGGAAAATATACACAAGGAAAAGAACCACGGGGTTCAACTAACCTGGAGGTAGTAGGCATGCTCCCACATATCCACACCGAAGACAGGCACATCAGGCGCATTGACAGGGTCCTGGTCCTTAGTCGTAACGATCTCAAGTCGTCCCTTGGCACCACCCTTGCTCACCAGCCATCCCCAGCCACTCCCCTGAAGACCAAGCAGCTCGGCGCCAAAAGCCTTGACAAATGCTTCATGCGAGCCCCAGCGGGAGACGATGGCTTCACTCAGAGCGGGGGCGCCACCGATGTCATTGGCAGGTGTGCCCGGGGGAGTCAGGTTCTTCCAGAACAAGGAGTGGTTGATGTGGCCTCCACCGTTGAAGCGGAGCTTTTGTTGCAATGAAATCAAGGTGGGAACATCATTTGACGCTGTTGCGGAGGCTTGGGCGGAGAGTGCTGCGTTCAAATTGTTGATGTATGTTTGGTGGTGCTTCTGATGGTGCAGCTCCATTATCTGCTTGGAGACGACGGGCTCCAATGCCTGTTGATTGTTAGCTTCATAGCGCAAGATTATGAGGATCTAGACCGGACGAGGCTTACATCGTAGGCATAGGGAAGAGGAGGCAGAGTGTGTATCTGAGAGGCCATAGTGTGCTGTGGATGTAAGCGTGTGTCAAGTGTAGAGAAGGTAGAAAGGAAGAGTGGAAGTGAAGGCGAGAGTTAAACCACCAAGGTCCCTCTGGATACCCCTCCTTAAGTGACGTGATAGTAAGCATCTTCCAGGAGGCCACCAAGGTGGATATCCACCGGTAGATGCGGACGGGAATTGGGATGAGTTGGATTGAGCACATTTTTGCCAAGTTACTCTAATCTGCTCACGGCGTTGCTTAATAGCTGACCCAGTTCCTTTGCCAACAACATATGACTTTGTATGATATAAAATTTTGATTGTCCCTTTATAGTTGTCGAGATTATATAAAGCAGTCCAATCTATCTATGTGATATTAAAATATATGTTATTCCATTCAATGCTCTTACTCATCCGTGGAGAGAGAAATGCGGGGGAAACAAGCCGGGGAAGCTGGCTCTCCTCACACTGACCTTGAGAACATACCAGTACTGACTCTATCAGACGGAAATGGAGTCAAAATTGAGAGCACGTATTGCAAGAATGAACATTTTATAACTAAAGGTAAGGATGAGACACAAATTAAAAAAGACAGGCCAGGAAGATGTGGAACCATCAAAATGAACCTCGAAGAAAACACAGTGCCCTCAGAAGATTCTTTGAATAACAGAGATCTATCTTTGCGGAAAGGTTCCAAAAATCAATATCGAAGGAAATTATAACAGAGCCTCTTCCTAGGTTGTTTCAGCTCCTGGCAGACAACGGCAGCAGGCACGTATAGCCTGTATCCGCGGAGGTCATAGCAAAAGCGCCTCAGATACTCGAAGCACGCCAGTGGGTAGCTCGTATGGACATTCGTCGTGCCATTCGAAGCCTAGCCTGGACCACAGAGCCCCGCCAGAGTCGTCAAGATTGCACTGTTGAAATATCAAAGGCGAACCGGTCAGCTCAACTCGGCTCGCACAGGTCAGATGAAACTGCGTCCTGGTCGCTCTGCCCCTTCGCAGTTGCTCAAGCCTGCCAAGCAGTCAGGCTCTTTGCGACATACCTAGTTAGAGAGGTTTCGAGGTTTTGTGGCGTAATATTTTGCCATATCTTTAAATAAACAGCTTGAGGCTCAGGGTACTGCCATGTGTTAGAAAAGATACATATTTTACCACTAGGCCATAACCGAAATTAAGGTACTTGTTTAGGGCCTAGCGGGGCCATATCTGTTCTGTTTCTCGTCTGACACTATATCGTAGATTTCCACCTTTCACAAGCCGTGCTTATTTTGCTTATATTTCCTTGCTCTGGCGCAATGATTACGCCAAGGTCTGTGCATTTCCTAATACCCTACCACACCCCATCTCTTGTTGCTTTAGATGGTACCAGTAGACAGTCGGGTTGGCAAGCCGGTAGTGCTCCCACTCTGCAGTAGTATCTACTCGCTTTCACGTTTCAAATACAGAAACATTCATCTTTGACGCTCCACTGGTCCTCTGGACTGAATATCCGCTTGCGCACTTGCGAGAAGATGACGGAGATGTGGATTGCTGGGCAGTATCCCAAGTAAAACACCGGTATCTAGCAGAGATATTGACTTTTCAACAAGCTTCTCGGCTTGACTATACAGCTGCAACCTCTGACCCCGTAAGACAGATTCGTAATGCTGTAGTTGCTCGTGCTTAGCCTAAAGATGTGTTAGTAGCTGGTCACGGATTATTGAGAACGCTGTATTACTTCGCAGTCTCCAGAACAAGATCCAGAGCTTCTCCCATCAGAAACGGAAGTTCGCTGATCGCCGTGACTTAAATCTTTGTAGAGATTATCTTGGCCTAAAATTGCGCCAGATCTGATTTGCTCCAAACAAGGCACAGAGGCTATTGGAACGTCCACGTCCTTCAAAAAAGTTTCAGTATGGTCTGTCATGAAATTCAAAGAAGTACTGACTTGGCAATGGAGATTTCCCGAAAGTGTTTCGACCTGTTGAGAGGAACTTTCTGTACCTGGCACAACTCTGATAAAGTTATCATGCTCATGCAATCGCATGGTACTCGAACACTGATTTTGTGATTTTCCATTCTTGAATATATCCAATGGATCCAAAGGAAGTTCATTTGGAATTTCGTCCAAGGAATGCCAGACGAAGGGTACATCACTGTCACTTGGTGACACATGCTCAAGAGACAGATCCGGCTGTTCTTGTCTATTGCCTGCATTTGACCCAGTAATCTCTTTTTCACTGCTTTTTGAGGCTACATGCTTTCGCAGCCTTGCCTTCTCGCCTATTCGGATCAGCATAACGTTAGAAGGGCAATGAGGATATACCTACGGTGTCTTCGCTGGGCGAGACGATTTTGAGATTTTCGTCGCTGGTCATAGCTTTCTTCCTCGGGTTTAATGACTTTGCCGCTCACATAGAATTCCATAGGTGAAGAATGGGTAGTAGCTTTAAGTGGCAGTGGCGAGAACGTGGTTATTCAATTTCTTAACGAGCGAATACGCAAGAAGGACATTGGAATTAACGCTGAGAAAGAGCACATAAAGTCAGGCAAGACCGGTCTCAGTTTTCATTCCGTTCGCCCCTGAGGTGCAGGTCATATAAATAGCATTCGCTGAAGTAGATACTGCATCATTTACGGAGTACAGCAGAGAGTTATCTTCGTGCGGATTTGTCTAATTGGATCATGTGGAATGATCCCTGTCCCAGGTTACGTTCTAGACTGTAGATTGCTGACGGTGCGGTCATCGTTCTATAAAGCCTATCACCTGGGCGGTGTTAAGACACTAATTGGTTAAATTGGTTTGTTAGATCGACTGGATATAATTCGGTTACCAGGATTACAAGTCATTAAAGGCGCATGAGTGAGGGGGCGGAAAACGGTAATATAGTATATCGGTACAGGATCGGACCTTCCAACCTCGGAAGATTGTAGTCTTAGTAAGCCCCGAAGACGTCGGGTTAGTTAAGGTTCGGTGGCTGATACTTAGTAGTGAAATTTAGCCCTTTCTTAAAGAGGAATATGCGTGCGAACGCCGTTAGGCACTCCGCTATTGACACTTTCCACCAGAGGATTAGCCCCTTTCTTTTTGGTCTAATAAGTGTATTATTAAGCGTGAGATTTGTCTCCGTCGAGAATGGACTTTTATCCGTCCGAAAGACTAGCCAAAAGAGAGACAATGCCAAGGATTACCTTCACCGGGGAAGCATATGAAGGAGATGTTTTAGCCTATATTTTCTGGCGCTACCCGGCGCCGGTACGGGGCGGCTTATCCCGCTCTTCGGGGACCCGAAGGCTGAGCGTACTAGTGTTATGGGTCTATTATTGATGATTTATATGTATACCGCCGTATCCTGCCTATCTTGTGAATCAAGATAGCATTTTCTAGCATGATAATGCTTCGATATATACCGCGTACGTCCTATGGGATGCGTTAGCTGAGATAAGATACAGATTGAGATTATGGAATGGCCTCCTTATTCGCTTGATTTGAATCGAATTGACAACCTCTAGGCGTTGCTAAAAGCTAAAATATATGAGCTTCGGCCTGATCTTCTACATATGCAGAATAATGACACTAGAAAAGAGATTCTAGTAGCTACTACACAGTAGGCATGGAATGAATTAGAGATACGGCATCCAGAGCATCTATCCAAGATAATGCCGCACCGGGCGAAAGCTATTATTGAGAGCCAGGAGTGGTATACACCGTACTAGATTTGATAGTATGAATTCATGGACCTCGGGAGGTTTTTGACCGGCAGTATATTATATAATCAGCGGAGTGTGGGGCCAAGGGTGCATTTATGTCCAGTCTACCACCTATCTCAACCATATGAGTTCTCTCCCAAAAGCCTCATCATTTCTCTGGTAGGAAGTAATGTCCCAGCTTCATCGAAAAATATCAAGGCCGGAGGCTACCCCGTCCTAGCCTCGACCCCCCGAAAGGTGGCCACCCGCCCCATCTCCTCATCCGCAAGCAGCAGATCCACATGGTCCGTCTCAAACGGCAACACAACCTCCAGGCCGCCCTCGTCCTCTGTCCCCGCCGACCGCCGTGGATAGATCATCATCATGTTCTCCACGACGGTGTCGGCAATCTGACGAGCCGCCGCCGGTCGGCCAAACCCGAAATCGACGGCACACATGTTGGCATCGCGCCAGTCTGTGACAGCAAGCGACATTGGGGGCATAGAGTCGAGGCGGACATTCAGGGCGGATTTATCGCGGACGGGTGCCATAGCCGCGAGGGTGGCCTCGAGGGACTGCGGGGTGACGCTCTGGGTGATCTCGCGGATGAAGGTGGCCAGGACGGACAGCGGAGTCTCCGGCGAGATGACTTGACCCAGCGTGAGCGGTCGGGGATGGAGGAAGGACAGCCCGCCGCTGAGGACGTTGCCCTGGTAGCGCATTGAGAGCGGGGGGTTCACTGTTGGGAAATCAGTTAGGGTTGGGGAGAATGACGCGGGAGGGATGGAGGCGAGGGGTCTTACACCGACGGCGCATGTTGATGGACTCGAGGAAGATGGCGGGCGCGGAGAGATCGGGGCGGTAGATCTGGGCGCGGTTGCGGGACAGCACCCGCCACAGGAATGCCGTCAGCGCATCGTAGGTGGAGATCCAGCCGCCCGTGGTCGGGCTCGCCTGGCGCTTAAGGGCGTCCAGCTGGCCCTGCGGGATGTGGAAGAGCAGCCAGGAACACGGCCGCCAGTCGGGATGCCGCAGGGCGGCCGGCGGGGCAGCCACCCGGTCGGCCTCGGCGACTGGCGGGGAGATGAAGCGCGCACGGTCCATCCAGGCATCGTCCCATTCCGGGGGAGTCGTGCCGCGCAGGAGGGCGTGGCTATGCCCGGCGATCTGGTGGATGAGGCTGGTAGTGCCCGTGACATCCATGGCGAAGTGGTGCTTGTGCACGGTGAAGACGAAGCCTCCCGGGATGAAGGTCAGCTGGTACCCGGAGATGCGCGGGCTCGCGTTCGGCGGGCAGTGGCACGCCATCGTCATGCCGGGGATCGTAAACTGCGCCGGGTCCCCCA